GTTTATTCTGAAATAATTCTCCCGAGTAATAATCCTGTAATTCTCCCATATGTAGCAATTCTGGCGATTAGTGATAGTTTTGTTTCCAAAATTTCTAAATGTTAAAATACAAATAACAGATACCTGATTTGCTGTAGCTCTTGAGCATCATCATCGCTTTGTTGTGCGCTGCTGAATGCTTATTCAGTTTGTGGTACTTCTGGAAGTGGACCACGGGTTGTTTTACCCATTGTCCACATTCCGGAAGTGGACACATGCTCTTCAAAGTGTTACCCATCACCCAATAACTAGGTTATACCCAAAGTGTTAATACATGTTACTTTTATAACTTCTTCAAACACTTGATTTTGTTGGGTTGTATAATCCGGCAGTAATGCCCCAGCCTTCTTGCGGACCTTTGCCATTCTTACACAACTGCAAAGCTGGCTCCGGAAAAGGGAGCGCAGGATCTGCTCTTGCTGTGGCTTCCAGCCAGCCCGGCGTTTGAACGTCTTCATTGCTGGAAAATAAAATACTAATAATGACTCCAGAAAATTATTTAAAGAAATCCACTTGTTACTAGATAATTTAAGCAAAAGAATTATTTAGTTAAAAAGTACAATGAAACGAAACTCTCAAAAGTTTTCACTGTCAACAATTATGATTTTGATGTCAAAGATTTATTGTGAAGTGATTCCTCAAGGTATCAGTCATGATGTTTACTGTGAATTATTCAAATGAGATGCCTGTCAAAATTCTTACCTTTTTCTCCAAAAAGATTCTCCGCAGGATTCGGAACACCCTCTTCCCTCCTCTTCTCTTCATGAGTTTCTTGGTCTAAAATATACGAACAATCATATAGCATTATATACATACATACATAATGGAAATCCTATAAAATGTTTTGCTTCTGTTTTTATATCTTGACATTAAGTTCTCAGTTGGTCGTGATTTAGTATAGTTTCATATTCAAATGAGATGCTTGTCAAAATTCTTACTTTCGCTGACTACATCCCCTACATGGTTTGGGCCAGTCAGGTCTGTCTCCTCCCCGGAAGTTTCTTGGTCTGAAAAATACGTACAATGATATAGCATTATACATACAAAAATATAGCATACGTACATACATGCATTCGTGCATACATACATAATGGAAATCCTAAAACATGTTTGCTTATATTTTATAGCTTGACATTATGTTCCCAGTTGATCTGCGACCACTTTTGTGTTCAATTAATACGTCACATGAATATATTTTTCCATTATAATCTTAACTATTATACTCTTAACTCCATTGGTAATAAAGTTATGGTCATCACACGATCATATTCAAATGTGATGCCTGTCAAAATTCTTACCTTCTCGGAAAAAGTCCCCTGCATTATTGGGGCCACCGTGGTCCATCAGCACCTCATGAGGTTCTAGGTCTGAAATATAAGTACACTCATATAACAGTATATATTC